CATAAAACTTCTCAGAAATGGGAACCGATTTATTAACATAAAACAATTTTAAGTAAGTTCGTGGTTTGAGTCGAACAATAGTTTCTGAACAAGTCTTATTTGTTCAGCCAAAAAACAGTGGCAATCAGGCATCATTTATTTGTTTTGTAATAACAATTATAAATTATAATCGATAATAATTAAACTACAAAACAAGGAATTAGATTTAAACAAAATATCTATACTAATATATAAACCTGCAGTGGTTTTTACGGATGTTCCGTTATAACTACTGAACCATGCATCCGATTGACTTGAAACTTGGTATCCATGTAGAAAATACATGTACTTTTAATGGATAGGCTGATATTTATATGAGTGTTGGACTCCCTAATAGTAATGAAAATAAATAATAATGTAAATTTGAAATGTCCAGCGAAGCGGGCGAGAACGGCTAGTGTATTAATAAACCTGTAGTTACTTTTAATTACCTACACTTCAAGTGGAAATCTGCGTACGACTCACCTGTATTTAAATACTTACCAGAGCCCATAGATCTTAACGCGTGAAGGCTGTCAATCTTGACATACGAGGTAGAAGTCAGAATTGCATTGATTAATGGATGTCTGTCCTTCAAATTAGAACGCACGGTTGTTTTACAGCAAATACATATTGCATTTTCGCATTCAAAGTATACAATTTCCAAAAATATTCGGAATTGAGTTAATGTGCGTAAACATTTGGTATCACCAGTATTTTTCTCGTAAATACTGTCAAAAGAGCGTAGTTTAGTTTTAGATTTTTTTTAGTTTAGTTTACCTATGTTTTGACTACTATTAACAAAATTAATACATAATTTTATCTTACTTCAAAAGACAGATAATCTTAAATGGTAAAAAATAAAAAATAAATGTTGCAAATATGAATAATATTAAAAATATTACACGTTAAACCTTTAAAACGCTTTTCTGTAAAATTAGTAAGTTTTGACATTATACAGTTTTAATGCGAGAAGACGATATATAAGTATAGGCAAAGTGGTGGCACCTAAGCATATGGGCTCGCAGTACGCCGTAAAATATATTAATCCTGATTCTCTTAAACAATGCCAGGTATTACTGCAGACAGCTGCCTATTAGCAGTAAACATTTCAGCGAAATTGAGCGAAACGATGCGTGAAGTGGTTGGTGCCTGGTGTCAGAAAATATGGAGAAGCAGTGAGAGAATATTGAAAACTGCTGCATTATTTACTCTTCTCTTATTAATGTCGAGAAATATACACTGAATGAAGCTGTCCCAAACACATTGATAGATGGGTGGACGAGCTCACAGCCCACCTGGTGTTAAGTGGTTACTGGAGCCCATAGACATCCACAACGTAAATGCGCCACCCACCTTGAGATATAAGTTCTAAGGTCTCAAGTATAGTTACAACGGCTGCCCCGCCCTTCAAACCGAAACGCATTACTGCTTCACGGCAGAAATAGGCAGGGTGGTGATACCCACCCGCGTGTACTCACAAGAGGTCCTATTACGCAAATTATATTATAATTTTGAGGGTTTCATTTTTATTACGCGATGTTATTCCTTCACCGTGGAAGTCAATCGTGAACATTTGTGTAGTACGTCTTTCATTAGAAAAGTTGGTACCCGCCTGAGATTCGAACACCGATGCATCGCTCAATACGAATGCACCGGACGTCTTACCCGTTAGGCCACGACGACTCCTAAAGGTGTCCTAGACACATTGATCCAAATAAGACATGTAACTACTGGAGAATATACTTTTACTCTAGGAATTTAGAAGAGCTTACGGTTTACGGCATTGCGAGAGGGTGTAGACACCATGAAGTACATACAACCATTTTTTTTTTTTGTGAGATTATATCGAAATTTTGATTAGACATTATAATAAGCTAATCTACTCAACAGACCGATACCCGTACTGGTTCGCGATCGAAAAGACGAAGCGTCACGTTGTCCAGTACATCCAGTACTTTTGACAAAGGCGTAATGTTGATATACAATAGAAATATAATATTAATCACCATAGTACAAACATTATCATGTAAATTTATGCCTGCATAACCATAAGGTCGAATTTCCTTAGATTACATCCTTTCAGATTGAACTATCCAAATGCAATTGCTACATTTAAGTTTATATACTATTAATTATCAATAAATACCCACTCTATTAAGAAAGAAAAAAATATGGTCTAGAATTTAATCCTACTATGATAAAGCCAAAAATCTATTTACGAATTTTATTCAAGTACGATTTTTGTAAAAATAGGTCCGAATTGATTTTAATTCCGGGAATTAAGGGTGCTTGAACGTCTTTTTTATTCATAACAACAACTCCTTAATTGTACATTTGGTCTAACTTTCATCATTAACAAGGACTATATATATCGCATATTATTATACGGTGCTATAAAGTCACTTATGCAATTTATGTTAACACTGAACTGAGTATGAGAAAATACATTTTGTTTAATAGTTATTAGTGAGACGAGAGAGATTCAGCCCACTGAGTTTCTCGCCGGATCTCCTCAGTGGGTCGCGTTTCCGATCCGGTGGTAGATTCTGCGAAGCGCTGCTCTTGCTGGGGTCAGTGTTAGCATCACTCCGGTTTGAGCCCCGTGAGCTCACCTACTAGTTAAGGTTACGCTGAAATAACCTCTCAAGGCTATCAGCCTAGGTAGAAAAAAAAAGGAGAGATGTTTGCTTTTACTGATGGAGTTTAAAGTTGTTGTTTCAATATTATCATTTTATTTCTATAGCCTAGCAGAACTATATAAGAATTATATAATAAGATGTTGAATTTTCCAACGTTTCTCCTGAAAAATTACATAATTTGCATAAGTGACGTTATCGCACCGTATGTGCGATATATACATCTATATATACCTATATATCAATTTTGTTTATGACAGAAAATCATCATTTAAGTTCTATTCTTCAAATCCAAGAACAATTGAAAGTATCCTGACGTAGATAACATCAGCATTCTGTATAGGAAAACGTTTTAAAAAAAAAAAAAGTCCATATACTGAAGTTCTTGTAGATGAGAATTTTGGAATTCGGCTTACTACTAATATTCTAGGTTTAAACTATTATACTACTGTACTAATACAGCCGTCAGCTGTTTTGTTTTGTTTTAATAAGAAAACCATTGCGATAATTCCATTAAGATTTCGGCCTTATGTTTCAAAATGGAAGATACCGTTCGAATACTGGTATCTGAGCGCATATTACCACCCGGCAACGGGATGTCGTCCTTTCTTCCTCTTTACTGACGTTAAAGATATAATGTTTGAAACGAACTTTTCCTCATGTTACGAAGGAAGTACTGAGTTCTTGGTACAGACGTCATTTTTACGCTCCAGTTACATATGCAAAACACATGACAAGGTTAATATTACGGCGCAAACCCTGCCATATAATTTTGCTTTGACAAATAATATATGACAAGCAATTAATATATAAAAAATAATATATCACACGCAATTAATTACACACCATTATTTAACTGGTTCTTTCTTAACAGTTAATTAAATAATAGTGTGTGTAATTTACCTAACGAAACATGAAAGTTTACAACAATTTGTAACGAATTAAGTAATTAACAGTTATTAATTTATCATTATAATCGAGTAAATTTTTATCTAGCAAAAGCTCATAGAAACAAACGTGAGGATTGAATATGAAAAGTGAGAGAAGATGAAGTATGGTGAAGGAAGAATCAAAAGAAATGAGATAGGCAAGGGAATGCTGGACTAAAGATAAAAGGCAAAACAAATTTTGAACAAAATCGCATAACACGAAATAAGGTCACTAATAAGGTCACAAATATCTAGGTAATGATCTTAGTAAGTAGTAGAAGATTAAATGTGATCAAAAATTTATCAGAATCGGCATGCATTATCAACCGATCATTGAAGAACTATAAAACTTTTAAATAAATATATCTTCGAACCTAAATTAGATATTTTAATGTGCTGCCTGCCCTTAATAAGACGTTTATACAGATTCACATTTGCCGTTATAGCGGTAGATAGTGGATTAGCCGTGCCCTAGCATTACTGACGTCTATCAGGTGAGCTGCATACACGTTGGCCGCCAAAAAAAAACATAAAAAATATACTACTTTCGGAAAAAAGAAAGATCACGGATACACCCTGCAGTTTTGTAATTTAAAAAAAACGAGCCAACTTAAAGCAAATGCTTCCTAATAAACAAATTCAGATTGTAAACAAACTAAAATTGCCCTTTGGTAAGAATTCATTGCAACTTCAGTGACTTGAACTGGCTCAAAACACACATAAATAAAAAATATAAAAAAGAGATTTATAAGTTTTTTTTATGAAATAGGTGTTAAAATTCTAGGAATTCCTTGAACCGTATTTAGCGTGCCCTTGACCACAAACATAATTCAAGTGAAAAGATATTCCTATTATCTATAGTGTAAGCGGTCTTTGTAGTGAAAAGGATACCTATTCACATTGTCACAAGGGCCTTGAACTTACAGCCGCCGCAGCTGAACAAATTCAAACAACCGAGCGAACGTGTAAGTATGTAATACAAATGTATTCTTTGACGAATTACTAGATGCTTTGTGAACAAGACGCTTGACAATGAACCTAAGTAGGACTCGCGCGAATGTTCTTTTTTTTATTAACTCTCAACCTAATCTTGGATTTTAGAGTATTTGTATATATTCAAATTAAAGTCTGCGTAGCCGTTGCTTTATTAAACGTAAAGTGATGTGTCTAGGAGGTGCAGCCTCCGACGGCAAACAAATTTGAGATTAGCATGAGGCGGCGGCGACGAGGCGTACGCTCAACTCGCTCGCCACGCGATTAAAAATGCAGGCCGCGGCGGGTGGGAGAGTGCGGGCGGGGCGGGGCCGTTCTCCTCGCTCCCATTGGCGCACCGCAGCACGGGCGGGCCCCCGGGGGAGAGTGCGGGGTACAGGTCGCCGTCACCGCCGCCCGGCCCGAGTCTCTCCTCACAACGCACGTAGCCTCCGCGCTCTACGGTCCTGTGTAACGTAACAATCACACGCGCGCCGCCGCGAGTCCATGTGACCGACCGATAGTTTTTCGTTGTGCACTGTGAACGAAGGAATCGGCAAGCTGTACGCGCCGCAGGAAGACGACATGCTGACGATGGAGACGGATCTCAAAGGCGGCAGCCTTCACGCAACGGTGCCGCCGCACCATGCACTCCAGCACGGCTATGGGTCGCTGGGTGCGCTCGGCGGCATGATGGCTCTGCCACAGCAGCAGCCCCTCGGACAACATCAGCCACTACAGCACCAGCATCACCAGCAACTGACCCAGCATCACGCGCCGCCTCAGCAACAACACCATCAAACACCTAACAACAATAACAATAACACTAGCAAAAATTCCAATGCCGAACGTGTTAAACGTCCGATGAACGCATTCATGGTGTGGTCGCGCGGGCAACGCAGGAAAATGGCTTCGGATAATCCGAAAATGCACAATTCTGAAATATCTAAAAGGCTCGGTGCTCAATGGAAAGACCTTTCTGAGTCAGAGAAGCGACCGTTCATTGATGAAGCGAAAAGACTTCGCGCCGTTCACATGAAAGAACATCCTGACTACAAATACAGGCCTAGGAGGAAGACGAAGACCCTGGCTAAAAAACAAGAAAAATACCCACTCGGTGGAGGCGGATTATTGGGAGCCACCGAGGCACAGAGGTCAGCCGCGCCAACGGCACAACAACCCCGCGACGTTTATCAAATGACACCAAACGGTTACATGCCCAACGGATATATGATGCACGACCCCAGTGCGTATCAACAACAAGCATATGGATATCCTCGCTACGATGTATCACAGATGCAACAGGGAGGCTACGGCGGAGGCTACTATGGCGGCGGCGGGCAAGGGTCGCCATATCTCCCTCAACCGCCATCACCTTCGGCATACGCGCTGGGTCCGGGATCGCCGGGCGGGTATGCATTGCCGCCGTCGTGCGCGTCACACTCTCCCAGCGGGTCGTCGGCCAAGTCGGAACCGGTGTCTCCGGGTCCGCCAGGAATGAAGCGCGAGTTTATTAGCCACGAGCCACCGGCGCAGCTCAAACGCGAGTTCCCGCCGCACCCCCAGAGCCACGAGCAGATGACAATGAAACGCGAGTACGGACAACAGGACTTGAGCCACATCATCAACATGTACCATGTGCCTGATGAGCAGCGGTACGCCGCCGTCGGGGAGCGCACGATGCCGCTCATCTGAGAATCGCCGTTCGCGTGCGACATAGACATCCCGCCGCTCTGAGCCGGCCGTGTCGCCGCGTCCCTCGCCTCCAGTGACTTTGTTCCGGATCGGTTTATGTGTTAGAACAGTGACCGTTACCTCCCGGCCGTACATACTACTGGGTATGTCTGTTTGTTTGTTTTGTAAAATACCGAGGCGGTTAGTGTTGCTCGAACTGTGTTGACTTAGTGCGTCGTCGGTTCGCCGCCGACGGCTCCACTTCAATTCAATGTTGTTGATGAATTATCTTGTATTATATTACGATTATTGTATTTTTTCATGGTTTTAAGTTAAAATGTTTTAAGTTGTGCCGTGCGGATGTAAGAAAGGGTCGGTGTGATGTCAGCGCGAGAGAGGACGTAGTGTCTGGGGTAATTCGAATACCAAAAAAATTTTTGAACAATTTGTAAATATAGTGTAAAAGCTAGAACTGAGGTCGGAGTTAGTCGATAAAGTAGGTAGATGTAAGTCGTGCCACGACGCCACACTCCACGCCCGTCGTGCGTTGTACAAAATATTTGTTATAATAAAAACGAAAGTTAATAATATTCCTGGAAAGACTAAAAAATATTGTAATACGAAAATGTACAGTGAGTGTTATTTAGTCAGTGGACACAAAAGTATATTGAGGAAAAGATGACGTTATCAATAAACGACGAGTTAAAATTGTATATGATGTTTGCTTTGTTCTGCACTCCCCACGGACCTGCCCATACAAATTTTGAAATACCAAGAATTTACGTTCCGCTGGTAAGACAAAAACTGAGCTGCGTGAGCTTTAAAAAGTGATAACACTACATCGTGATTTATTTGCACAAAGAGAAGCTTATTTACAAATTATGAACACAAAAGTATAGAATACAATGGATTTAATAACTCAACATTCTTCTATGAATGTGCGCATACAAAAGAGTTCAACGCAAACACACTTTAAAAAAGAATTTAATAGACAATACTTAAATCTTGTTTAACACAAAAAATTAAATCACAAAATGAAATATCAATAAAATGTTATTTTAATGAATTATAGGACTTACTCTTGACACATAATTACAGGTAATATTTTATCCGATAATTTTAAATACATTTTATGATCACAATATTCAAACAATTCTATTATAAGAATTTGCATAAGAATAAATTTCAAATGATTGCATAAACTTATTATGTTTTATGTGAATCTGTATTGTTGACACGTTCAAGAATACTGAAAACTAATAATAAGAAAATGTTATTGTCACAAAGAGGGTCTACAATTATTATTTTTTAAAGCCTTTCTATACTTTAATTACTGGCCAAATATAGAAACACAGTCTGCATGATATTGGGTGGCTTACGATCTCCAATGACACCAGCGGTGGTCAAACGCCTTGAAGTCGATTAGAAAAGCTGAAATAATCTTTATTTCTGCATACAAATCGCCATTTATATTCTGTACACTTAAATAAAATTTAAAAAATAACAAAAAGAAAACGGACTTAAACAAGATAAAATGAAACTAGTATCTATGTGGTCAAATTTAATTAAATATTCATTTTTAAGAATCACTCAGAAACTATTTACTGGTCGAATCTCGATAAAATTTAAATGAGACCATATGACAAGTACCAGTTTTAAAATATAAAAAAAAAAAATCGAAATCTATTCACCTAGAAACAATTTATGAGATAAAAGAAAAAACATAAAAAAATTGCAGTCGACTTGATAAGATCTACCTTTTTTAAAGTCGGTTAATACTCAACCGATTGTGATGAAACTTAGTATAACTGTTACGACTCCAGGTAATGTGGTGTTGTACTACCAACGTACAATAGATATCACGCGAATAGTCTCAAGATACTTATCATTTTCAAACAAATCGCGTTGGTCAAAGCGAACTGGACTGACTTTACTAGCATATTTCAAGAAATTCATCTGACCTTGTTATAATATTGCAGTCTCGGGTAGCTACAGATATCGACGCTGCGCACAATTTTACTTCTATTACAGCTTTACCACGATGCTCTGTATCAAGCAACCCTACCTACATAGGAATCACAAATAAATAAACATTGGGCATTTTTCGGCTCTGAGCTTATACTTTCTCCTGCGTTATGGACGCAGCAGCATACACACAAGAACTTAATTTGTTCGGTCTATGAATATTAAAGCATTGATTACGACCGGGTATGAAACCCTGGCCTCCTCATATAGTAATTAAAATCACTAAAGAATCATCAAATGATCCAAACGGATAAACTTGGGATTGGCAGTAATCTGCCAAAAAATCGTCTCAATAGCTTTTATACTAATGTATAAAAGCTATTGAGACGTTTTTTTTTTATTATTGCTTAAGTCGATTGACGAGCTCACGGACAACCTAATGCTAAGTGGTCACCAGAGTTCATAGAGATCTACAAAGTAAATGCCGCCACCTACCTTGAGATATTAGTTCTAAGGTCTCAGTTTTTGCACTATAACGGCTACCCCACCTTTCGAATTGTTTTTTCTTTATTGTATTAATGGATAAGGGATCTCTCATCCCACCTACTGTTAAGTGGAGGCCAGAGTGGCCATATCACAACTTGAATACCGTCAAGTAACTTGAGACATGAGGTTTTAATTTCTATTGCCTTGTTGATGAATTGGAGAACGGAAAGGTACTGAAATATATTCTTCTTCTTTTTCTCCTTCTTTAGAAGATTATCTTTAGATTACCAGATAAGCTGACAGCCCGTCTGGTCATCAGCGTGCACCGAGAACAATAGAAATAAGAAACAATGTCACCTAATAACAAACATGAGATTGAAGAATAAATTGCATCTGGCCTTTATTTTTTTTATTGCTTAGATGGGTGGACGAGCTCATAACGCACCTGGTGTTAAGTGGTTACTGGAGCCCATAGACATCTACAACGTAAATGCGCCATCCACCTTGAGATATAGTTCTAAGGTAAATTAGAACAAATGATTTCTTTACTACAGAGACAGTTATGCAGGCTCAAAATTCTTCTTGTGTTATATAGATCTATGTACAGGGTGGGCCAGAAAGATTTGCGAATTAAAAAAAAAAAAAAAAGAAATATATATATACAATACACATCTTTATTTCAATTGAAATCGATATCTGGGAAATTTATTTCTTATGAACTACATCATTCAGGTGTGCATCATCACGCTGCAAACATTCCTCGAATCTGAACTTCAATTTGGTGAGAGCTCGCTGACACGTTGCGCAAGGAATAGCTGCCATTTCTTCTCGAATATTTATTTATCTTCAACTGGTTAATCATGGCTGGCATAAAAAAATATATATATTTCACAATTTATATTTAAAAAAATTAAAAAGCTAATGTAACTTTACGAAAGTTTACGTCACAAGCAATTTGTATAAAACAAAGATTTATATAATAATCGTCAAGGTGTATTTTTTTGGTACTATTAATTATATAGTACATGATGCAAAAATTGAAATGATGTGTAGGTGTGTGCCTATTTATATGCAGATCGCTACCAAACTCTATACTCTATAGGATCATCTACTAGGCTAATCTGAAGACTCCTCAAAAGATGATGGAAATCAGAAATATACATACATCGATTTTTATAAATTGTATTATAGTATACAGGGCTCTGTACGCCCATATAAAAATATTCTACCTGCTTCTAGGTACGTCAGTATCCATCTTCTAGGTGGATCATCCGCGTCGTGATATCTAGGAGTCTGTGTCCATCGGTGTGTCCATCAATCTACAATATTTAAAACTCGGAGACTACAAAACTGAGACTTAGAATTCATGTCACAATATGGGTTCAGTTTTTGGTGGCTGGCGACATTTACTTTGTTGATGTCTATGGGCTCCGGTAACCACTTAACACCAGCAGCGGCGTGAGCCCGTCCACTCTAAAAATAGCAGACGCATCCCTCGATAAGATATAATTTAACCGAATTAGGCCAACACTAAAGCTCAAAATTTAGAATGCCTTTGTTAGCTAGACAATTTTCCTTTATTATTACAAGTTTTATTCAAAGAATACACAACTTAGATCAGTTTATCTTGCTAAGCAATGAGTGTCAATGACCTCTAATGAAAAAGTGGTTTTATATTTCTTTATTGTTAATATCAGATGAGCTATTTAAACACAATCGCCGACAAAGAAATAAAATAAAGCAACATTTTCAATAAAAATCTAAGAATAAACCCGTGTTCACAGACGCATAGGTGTATCTTAATCCTTTTTATTCTAAAAAACGTAGCCTATAGAAGTTGAAAATTTGAATATGTTCTTTGGCGTTACTTGTCTAAGTCACATTACCAATGTTTATGTCAAAATCATCAAAGCTTTACGAGTAGTGACATGTTTCAATCAATTACAGTAAACACGTAAGGGGCGATGGAGAATTTAATCAAATCCCTCCCGACTGAGCTGAGCTGAGCTGAGCTGATAGAATTCGGGCAGTTTTTCCTCCCTTGGGATTGCGTGAACTTAATTCGGTGACGCCCCAGTGTTTAGGTGGGACTCATTTAAACACTATTTTCACTTAAGCGAGGCGAGGGTTGAGGTGCAGAGTTAAGAGACTCGGCTTTTTAATTACACGCCTTAAATGTAGTAAAAATGATTGTAGTTTGAATTAAAGCTTTTTTCAAAAAAATTGTTGTCTCTGTAGATAGACGACCCACCTGATGATGAGTGGTTACCATCGCTCATGGACATTAGGAATGCCAGGGGAAGAGGCAAGCCGCTACCTAATTTTCACGTAACTAATTCTATATCAAACAAAATAATAAAATAGTATTTTCTTCGGTTTTCACGAGTCATACATTTTTATTTTCATTATATTATTTTCGACGTTAATACATTTTATATCATTGATTTGATCACGAAAAAACAGTTGGTAGCTTAAACCGTAAAAGCAATTTTAATGTTTATATTATTGTCCTAAACTAGATGTTTATCGGCGATAAGACATACTTTAACCCACAGGCACAGTCCACTGAGTTTCTTGCCGGATCTTCTCTGTGGGTCGCGTTTCCGATCTCGTGGTAGATTCTGCGAAGAACTGCTCTTGCTAGGGTCAGTGTTAGCAACACTCCGGTTTGAGTCCCATGAGCTCACCTACACGCTAGGGTAACCCTGATATAGCCTCTCAAGGCTATCAGCATAGGTAGGAAAAAAGAAAAATTACCATACTGGTTATTTCTGGTAAGAAGCAAATCCGCGAGAGGGAGGTAATCCAAATATGGCTTCGTGAATCCAGATGATGGCGTAACACATTTTATGCTTGCCGTTGGACTCCGGTAGCCGCTAAACACCAGATGACCCGTAACAACGCCTTTAGTAAATATGATATTTTTTTTATCGCTTAGATGGGTGGACGAGCTCACAGCCCACCTGGTGTTAAGTAATCTACAACGTAAATACGCCACCCACCTTGAAATACAAGTTCTAAGGTTTCAGTATAGTTACAACGGCTGCCCCACTGAAATAGGCGGGGTGGTACCTACCCGCGCGGACTCACAAGAGCTCCTACCACCAGTAAAAAAGAAGAATCTACAAGAAGGGACTTCGAAGGTCAAAGATGTTTGATGCCGTCGAACCACTTAACTCCAGCTCGTTCTCTTTTACGCATTAATCTAGATTTGAAACTCGGCATGGACGCAAGTAGTTCATAACAAGAGAGCCATACGATT